AATTTCATGCCACGGGGATTTTATGGTAGAGAAATAAACAGAGACTGGTTTCTCTCTTTGTTTAAGGTTATTCATCTCACACTTTAGTTCATAGACCCTAGCAACATTAAGGGGTTGGGAGTAGGTCTCTTTCATGACATCCCATATCTCCTTGGCTGTCTTTGCCGACAAGTAATTTCGGCTGATATGTGACTGCATCGAGTTGCACAACCATGTCATAACCAAGTAATTCTCTTGAACCCACTTGGTATACATTGGGTCCTCCTTGGAAGGCTCTTTCACATATCCCAATAGATAGCTAAGTTTTCTCCTTCCCCTAATAGCCATCATGTCTGATTGGGCCCATTCCAAGTAATTGGATCCGTCAAATCTCACAGTTGTAATCTGAAACGTAGTCTCAGACATATTACTAGAACTGTTGTTCCCAAACACACCTCCCTGATTTTTGAACTCCATTCTTGGTCAAGAATCAGTAGTTAAGAACTATTAGGGTTACCACACTAGAAAACAACACTGAAACAATCGATCACAATCAGAAAACTGTATGAAATCAGTTCAGATCTGATTTAAAACCAATCGGAAATCAGAATATATGTAGTCCGATAACAATTCTCACTCTCAAAACAGGCTCGGAAGCCAAAACCAGGTCTGAAACTCACTTAGAAAGCACTCTGTAAAGCTGAAGCAGAATTAGGGTTTCAATTGTAGGGTTAGGAAGACCTTTGTGAGAACATAAACCGTGCTCAGCTGCACTTTCCAAAAGAATTCACAGTCAAATCTAGCCGTAGGGTTAATGACAAACCCTAAAAAACCGATCACCTCTGAGAGAAAGTAGGAGAGTTTGGTCGCTCCTCCTAGATAGGTCCAACCTATCTTGACCGACAACAATCTCAAGGGAAAAATAAGGACTTACCCAGAGAACTCTGATCACTACCTTCAATCGTGGCCTGAACCCTAACCTCCTCTGATTCTTCCTGATTACCAAAACACTCTGCAAGCCTCGACAAGTCTTCGAATAGCCGCTAAACTTTTCTGGTAACCTCCAAGAATCAGCCAACGAACAGTCTTTTGTAAGCTTCCAGCCCTAGACAGTTTTCATGTGGCCGGCTGGACTAGACTCGCATGAGAAACCCTAGATAGGCTCTGATACCAAGTAGTCAATCAAGACTATAGTCGGTCTTGAATCCCAACAAATTTCGGATTGAGAAAAATAGAAGGAAGAGGAAGAAGAAAGGAGAAGAAGCAGAAGTACACAAGGGTTATTGAAAGGAGGGACAGATTGAATGAGTCTGCCACCGCCACTCTCTTAATATTTATAGGTTATGTTCACTAAATGTAGGAAAGGACAGAACTGCCCTTAATTCTTACATGGCAAATAAAACAAATAATAGACTGAAACAAATAACAAATTGAAATAACAAGCTGTCTAAGATAACTACCAACTAACACTGACATTACTAACAGAGGTTACACATGCTGTCATACGAACATAGTGGGGACCACAGCTGTGGGGCCCACATCAGTGTTCTCTACAAAAACTACTAAAAAGAAATTAGAAACTACTAATAAAAGAAATTAGAAACAACTAGGTGTGGGTATGAAACCACACACACTAGAGCCTGAGTGTGGGTATGGAACCTCCAACCATTTCTTCACTCCCCCTCAAGTTGGGAGTAGATATTTGTCATGCCCAACTTGCGTAGATCTGTCTCCAATTTTTCTTTTGTGACTGCTTTGGTGAAGAGATCAGCTAACTGCATGTCTGAGGCAATGTAAAGAAGGCATACTTCTTGAGATGCGACTCACTCTCGGATAAAATGTCTGTCAACCTCAATATGCTTACAACATTAGAGGTTTCTTATAATCAACCTCGAATTCATTAAGCAAGGATATCAGCTATAACACTTCTGCAACACCATTGGCCATGGATCTGTATTCTGCTTCTGCACTAGAGCGAGCAACAACATTTTGTTTCTTCTCCAAGAAAACAAGATTTCCCCCCACAAATGCACAATATCCAGAGGTGAACCTATCATCAAACACATCCAGCCCAATCCGCATCTGTATACACTTCTATTTTCATATGACCATTATTCTTGAAGAGTATACCTCTCCCTGGACATCTCTTTAAGTAGGCAAGGATCTTTTCTACTGCAAGGATATGGGTGGTCCTAGGAGAATGTACGTATTGACTGACAACACTGACGGCATAAGAAATATCTGATTGGGTTAGACAGAGATAAAGAAGTTTCCCAACCAGCCTTTGGTACATAGCCTTGTCCTAAAGGAGTCTTCCACTTTCTGCACTTATCTTATGGTTAGGCTCAATGGGAGTATCAACAGGTTTCACTCATAACTTGCCAGTTTCTTCTTATGAGTCTAGAACATACTTCCTTTGGGAGATGAAAATGCCATGCTTAGATCGAGTTACCTCAGTTCCTAGGAAATAGTATAACTTTCCTAGGTCTTTCACTTCAACTTCCTTGTGAAGGTGCTGTTTAAGGGTTTCAATTTCACTAGTGTCACTTTCTGTTATCACAATGTCATCTACATAGACTGCAAGTAGAGTCAGGGAATGACCTGTCTTCTTCAAGAAGAGGGTGTGATCTGATTGAGCTTGTATGTATCCGAATTTGTCCAAAGCCAGTCTAAACCTATTGTTAGAGCCAACTGTACAAGGGTAGTATAGTCCTTTTATGTTTAGTTATATATGTAGTGTTCAACTGATGTGGCTCTCACTTAAGTGAGGGCACAATGGTATTTCTTGTATACCATAAAAGAGTATTGATGATGCACGATCCAGTCAGTCCTAGCTGTCGGTAACCTTGCCTCTGAGGGAGCAGGAGATGCCTGAAACAGGGAGGATACAAGAGATTCTGGGGGAGGAACCCAGCGGGGATGCTCCGATGCTCAAGTTAGTACTCTTGAGAAGGCAAGGAAAATAAGAGATTCTAAGACCAAAAGGCACAAAATATCACTTACTTTTACTCCGAGGGAAGAGGGCCTTTTATAACCCCCCTGGTGCACTCACTCCCAGGCCTCTGCCGGGTCAGGTGTAACCGCCTCTATGGGGGTGGCAGGCATAACCACCACTGTCCTTTCTATTAGGGCCGTCTCTGCAACAACTGAGATGGTGGTAGCAGGTGGCCGTTGGAGTGCGGTTGTTATGTGTCAGATCCCTGATCAGTCAGGCGCGCTGCTTCAGGGTACAAACCTCTTTGTAAAGTACGGTTGCAGTTATGCGACCTGGAGCCGAGGTGCCGGAGTGGTGCATGGGGGAAAGTCTTGAGTTTGGACAGGAGTATGGCTCACTGTCCCGAGGTGCCGGGGTAGGGCCCGGACTGACCCGAGGTGGGTTAGCTCAGGTTTTGCCCTTCGCGGGTTTCCTTGCTAGCCTCGAGATTTCTAGGGAGAGTTCGGGCTTCACCTCCCAGGAAGTGTAGGTTAATTTTGGGGAGCTCGGAGCTTCTTCCTGCGGGAGCTCGGGAAGTTCGGTACTCTTCTTGGGATATGGCTGTTGTTGTGCTGAGCTGGCGCTCGAACTAGGCCATACCCGGTTTCTCCCACGTGTCGCACAACCAAGGGGTCGGGCCAAATCTACCTCCATCAATTGCCCCCCACTCCCCATGCCTGAGGTCTTGACCCGGCGTGGAGAGTTCACGGACTGACGGGTGGATTTACCCCGTGGCGTGCTTCGTCCAGTTCGGAGATCCTCTGGTCTGACCCGCCTATGTTCTTGGCTCGACCAGGGTCAGCGCGGCTCGACTAAAAGTCAGCCCGGGTCGTGTACAGCTTACGCGTAGACGTCAAATGATTATCAGTTTTCGGACGTAAAAAATGCGCGCTAAACTGATTTCACCTCGGGGGTCGTGTAGCCGGTTTTCCTGAGAGCCGTTGGATGGCTTTGATCTCGACCGTTGATGTGCGGGTATAGCGGCTATTAAATAGTGGGGGCCCTGGTCACTTTTCCTTCGCCAATATTCAGCACTTATTTCTTGAGCTCGCATCCAAAGTCTTCAGCTCGCGTCACTTTCCCTAGTTCGGTAGCTTTTCCTTGGTGAGTCCCCTTAGCTTTTTCAATTTCCTTTCCTTTTCAATGTCTAGTTCGAGTAGCTCGGGTAGTTTAGATAGCCTTTTAGGAGGGCCTGAGGCGAAGACCTTGGGTCGGGCTGCCTCTTTCGACAGCCTTCTAGATGAGCCCGAGGTAGGGCCTTTAGTCTAGGTCACCCCTGGCAGCCTGGAATTCACTTCCCCTCGAGTTCGGATGCCAGACAAATTCGGACCCTCCACTATGGCGTCTGAGAGACTTCGGTCTCTTGTTCGTTAGTTCAACCTGCCCGGGGAGTACACTTATAGCTTGCCCACGGGCGACTTCCCTTGGGAGCACGGTCCGGATGAGATCGTGATCTTCCGGGAGCAGCTCATTGCCGGGCTGCGCCTCCCTCTCCATCCCCAAATCGTCGAAGTCTTGAATCATTTCGGCGTCTCCGTCGGTCAGCTTCACCCGAACTCCATCCGTAATGTTGTCGGGACCATTTCCCTCTGTTGTGAATACGTCCTTCCCTTAGGCTTAGAAATTTTCTCTGCCCTCCTCATGCTTAAGAAGCAAGCGAGCTTCCTACCCGAGCATAGGTGGGCCTATTACTTGTCTCCCCGCCCGGGATTTAAACTTCTACATAAGCTTCTGAATAAGATCCTGGCGTGGAAGCGAGACTACTTCGTAGTCCGAAGTGCTACGGGGTGGCCATTTTCTACTCATTGGAGGGTGGCTGTTTCCGATCCCGGTGTCATGTTAGATAAAGACATGGCGGAGACCTTCTAGTCTTGGGCCCAGGTCGGGCTCGAGTGCGGAGACTACCTTACAGAGGCTAAGCTTATTCATGCCGGTCTGAGTCCGGGTAGGTTTCTTTACTCAGCTTCTTTTTTTTTTTTTTTTGCTGATGCCGAACTCTTTTCGTAGGTATCATGGAGGAAGAGAAGACCCGTGGTGTCAACTTGCTTGATGGGATGAAGAGAAGGAAGCGGGTTACTAAGAGAGCCCGCATTGAGTCTCCTCGGGCTATGGAGTCCGAAGCCCCAAGCCATCCTCCGGTCATTAACCTGGATTCCCCCAGGGAACCCGAGGTGGCCGGGCCTATCCCGGAAGTGGTAGCGGAGACCGGGGTTGTAGAGGCTCGGGATGCCGAAACTACGGAGGCTTCTCACACTCAGACAGTATTCTCCAGTTCGGGGAGCCAAGAGGGGGTTGGTAGCGTGCTGACTCCGAGCTGTGCTCTCCGCAAGTGCAAGAAGGCCGTCTATCCCGGGGAGTTCACGGAATGGTCTGAACTTCCTTTGGGCCACATTGGCGCACGCGCTGCGTCTCATGCTATGGTGGTAAGTCGAAGTGGTTTTTCCCTTTGTACTTTTCCTGTGTTTTTATTTTCTTGCCGGACTGACTTGTTCTTGCTTGGCAGGTAAACTCCTCCATCCACACCCTGACCATTCAATCGGAGAGGAACCTGAAGCGGGCACAGGCTACCAAAGAAGCTTTGGGGTCAGCTCGGGAGCGGATCCAGCGTCTTGAGAGCGACACTTCGGCTCAGAAGAGCGAGTTGGAGAGACTCCGGAGAGAATGGCGCCTTGAGGCTCGTTATGAAGCACCTCGCGACCTCAAAAGGGGTCTTGGAGCATGAGGTGGAATACCTCAAGGCCGATATCAAGGAGAAGTCCGAGATCTTCTTCTAGGCTCTCGAGGACACCAAAGTGAAGGCCGTCGACGAGTACATTGCGTTGGAGCGTTTCGACGATCTAATGGTGGGCTCGTACCGGAGAGGTTTTAAGCTGAGCCGATGGATGATAAGGCATGCGTACCCTGAACTCGATACTCGTGCCATAACCACCTCGCGCATTACTCCGGAGATGGCTCTTGCAGCTGATGATGATCCGGATCTTGAAGATGAAGTTGATCCCCCATGTGCTGCCAAAGTTCCTTCTGAGGGCAAGGGAGGTGTGACTCCGAAGTGACATGCACTGGGCCTGCAAGCCCGAGGTGATATGTACCGAGCCTCGAGCTCATTTTGATATGTACCGAGCCTACGAGCTCGTTTTGATATGCACCGAGTCTGCGAGCTCGTTTTGATACTGTAAAGGAAACATCAGTAATGAAATACCTTTTTTGTTTTAAGTGTTGTGTAGTCAAATTCTTTCCTTTTGCCGAACTGCTTAGAATTAGGTCCCCAAAATGAGGGGGTTTCATGAGGCGAGTTAACATAGTAAGGCTATACGCCCGACCTGTTCTCCGCCTGGGTCGGTTTTATCGGTTTGTCTTCAATAGGCCTGGCTCGGAGTGGGCTATGCACCTCGGGTTTCACACTTGGTTCTGCGCTGAAGAGGTGCCGAGGTCATTATCAGCTCGGCGCTTTGACCCATTGGCTAGGACACTTTCCTAGGCTTTGCCCATGCCGAAGAGGCGACTGGGTCCTATGGTGCCGAGGTCATTATTAGCTCGGCGCTTTAACCCTTTGGCTAGGATACTTTCCTAGGCTTTGCCCATGCTGAAGAGGCGACTGAGTCTTATGGTGCCGAGGTCATTATCAGCTCGGCGCTTTAATCCTTTGGCTCTAGGAGCGGCTCATAGTCCACTTAGTTCGGTAATTTACAGGTAATATCGCCTTAAGTTAACGATGTTCCATGCCCAGGGTATTTGTCTACCCTCCATGGTTTTGAGCTCGTACGCTCCTCCGAGTACTCTTTTTACTCGGTAGGGTCCTTCCCAATTCGGTCCGAGCTTGCCAACGCCGGGCTCAGGTACCATGACCTTGTGGAGAACCAGGTCGCCGACGCGGAAGTTCCACTTCTTGACTCTGGCATTGTAGTACCGAGCTACCCTTTGCTGGTATGCTGCAGTCCTGATGTAGGCGAGGTCCCTCACCTTGTCGAGTAGGTCGAGCTTGGTACGTAACTCGTCGTCATTGGTCTTGTCGCCGTACGCTTCTAGTCGTAATGAGGGGATTTCGATTTCAGTTAGGATGACTGCCTCTGTGCCGTAGGTGAGGTTGAAGGGAGTTTCTCCGGTAGCGGTCTTCTCTGTAGTTCGGTAGGCCCATAGGACGTTGAGTAGCTCGTCCGCCCATAGTCCTTTAGCTCAGTGTAGCCTGGCCTTTAGTCCGCGGAGGATAGCTCTGTTCGTGACTTTTGCCTGACCGTTTGCTTGCAGGTGCTCGACCGACGTGAAGTTCTGCCGAATTCCCATGTCTTAGCACCATTCCTGGAATTTGATATCCTCGAACTGCTTGCCATTGTCGGAAATCAATACCCGAGGTAACTCGAAGCGGCACACTATGCTCTTCCCAAAAGAAGTTATGGACGTTTCGAGCTGTGATTGTCACGAGAGGTTCAGCTTCTACCCACTTCGTGAAGTAATCTACCGCCACTACTAGGAACTTCCTCCCACCTGTT